ATCATGGATACTAAAATTGTGGCTTTTGGTGTGAGAGAATGAGCTGAGTCCACATTTACAGTACAGTTTGTGTGTGTGTGTTTGTAGATGTTCCGGTCCAGACTTCCTCCCCACCATCATCACCGGTGGTGCCTGACCCTCCCTCACCCCTTCGTAACCACATTACAGTGGCTAAAAAACAGCAGTGGGCGAAACAAGGTGCTGGAGCTCCGCCCACTTACCTGTGCATAGGCTCCTCCCACAAACCCCACAGTAAGGAAGGTCCAGCAGTGACAGCCCACGATATACATGGAAATACCCGGAGGCAGAGTCCTCAACAGGATCAGGTACAGTAAGCAGGTGTCTGTGTCAGGTGGTCAGAAGAAGGAACGCTCTTTTCCCCCTCCTTCAACCCCACCTTCCTCCTCCTCCTGCCTCATCTTCTTTCCTCCTCCTCCTGCTGTTTCATTATTCCACATGGATTAAAAAACTGTTCTCCTTGGTCCGGTTCTGACTCCTCCCCTCCTCCCCCCAGGTCGACTCCTGCAGTGATCGGACCGTCACGTGTTTATCGTGGGACCGAAACAGCCCTCCCTGTGTTGTGGCCGCTTCTACCGCAGTTTAGCAGGATGCCCCTTCACCAGCAGGAGGCTCCACTGACATCAGTGCCTCAACCACCGGAAAACGATCAGGGCAGCGTTCGTACCTCCAGAGTCTGGAGCGCAGCAGCAGAGCCTGGGTGCTGTCCTCGGGAAAGACCCAGGGCTCAGAGGACCAGGTGTGTCCTCAGGAGGACAGTGGTGGAAACATCTGGTACAACCCCATCCCTGAGGAGGAGGACAGCTCCATGGCCTCCTCTAACACCACCATTACCACCACTGCTACTCTGCACAAGGAGGTGGAGGACGAGGTATGGAGGAGAAGGGAAGACCCAGAGGACAGAACCTCCACCACAGAGGGACCAGGAGACACTAGAGCAGAACTCAGAGGACCCTGGGTTAGGTCAGCAGAGGTACGAGGCACCGTCGGTCCACCAGAGGGAGCTAATCCCAGCATCAGGCACCAAGTCGATGACATCACAACTGAAAGTACAGGTGAGAAGACGTCAGTGGACGTGTTGGTCTCAGACTCTTCTAAAACTTTGACTCTTCATTCAGACTCAGACTCATCCTTGAAGACATGACCTCTGACCTCAGGCCCTGAAGCTGCTGGTCTCTTCCTGTGTTTCAGACTCTGACTTGAAACTCTGACTCACCTCTGACTCCTAACATAAGTGACTTTCAGAGAGTGTAATGTTCTGAAGTCCATGACTAAAGGTCTGACTGAAGGTCTCCATTCCTGTCCCTCAGAGCCCACGTCACTGGACTCCAGCCCCAACACTCAAAAGAAAGTGGGCGTGTCTGGCAGCGTCATGGAGCGCCTGCGGTCTCCTGGCACCGTCAGAAAACTGTCAATGAAGATGAAAAAACTCCCTGAGCTGCGACGCAAACTCAGCCTTCGTTCATCCCGGTCTCAGCGACAAGGAGGTGACAACAGAGGAGGTGCAGATGAATGGGTCACCAAGACTGTGACATCATCATCGGCATCCAACCAGAACGTCATCAGCAGGTACCACCTGGACAGCTCGGCCCCTCCTGCACGACCTCTGCGACGATCCTCCAGGGGACGCTCTGCAGGAAGAGGAGGTGAGTTTGCTTTTGGTTTTGTTTCCATTTTGGAATCAACACAGTGATGATGATTTGTCCAGTCAGCAGATTAACAAAACAGGAAGTGACATCTGACATCAACTCTCAGGTCACCTGAGCGATGGAGACTCTCCTGAACTTCTGCCACGGCAACAAGCTCCGCCCTCTCCTCCTCAACCAATGAGCTCCCAGGAACTGAGCTGCGACATGTCGTCGTTCAGGTTGTATCTGGGTTCTGAACCACAGCGCAGCAGCCAGAGGGTCAGTGGGTTGCTGACCGTCCACCTGCTGGGCCTGGAGGAGATGAAGAGCTGCAGGTAACGTTCCAGTGAGGTCACAGTGAGGTCACAGTTTGTTGTTGTGTATCATTACAGTCAACCACACACACACACACAGCTGTCTCACACTCATCTCTGTGAATGGTTCCCTCCTCAGGTCCGACGACAGTAAGGACATTTTCCTGGCCATACAGGTGGACGGAGTGACCAGAGCGAGGACGGCCCTCCTCAACCTGAGAAGCTCCGCCCTCTCATTAAACCACACCTTCCACCTGGAACTGGAGCGAGCGAGGAAGCTCCGGGTCGTGGTGCTCACACCAGGTAGTACTGCAGTTACTGTAACAGCAGTAAGCTGCTGTTACTGCTGCTGCTGTTACTGCTGCTGCTACTGCTGTTACTACTGCTGTTACTGCTGCTGCTACTGCTGTTACTGCTGCTGCTGCTGTTACTGCTGTTACTGCTGCTGCTGTTACTGTTGCTGTTACTGCTGCTGCTGTTACTGTTGCTGTTACTGCTGCTGCTGCTGCTGCTGCTGCTGTTACTGCTGCTGCTACTGCTGTTACTGCTGCTGCTACTGCTGTTACTGCTGCTGCTACTGCTGTTACTACTGCTGTTACTGCTGCTGCTACTGCTGCTACTGCTGCTGCTGCTGTTGCTGCTGCTGTTACTGCTGCTGTTACTGTTACTGCTGCTGCTGTTACTGCTGCTGTTATTGCTGCTGTTACTGCTGCTGTTACTGCCGCTGTTACTGCTGCTGCCCCTGAGTGACTGCTCATCGCTCACTGTGTTTCAGCCAATCCACACGGTGTGGGCAGGTCCAGAGCAACAGGGCAGAGTGACAGGTCAGATGGGCAAACCAGGAACAGAGTCTGCTGTCTGGGCGGAGTCTCAATCCCACCACTTTTTAAAGGTTCATTACTGGAAAAACACTGGGCTTCATATGATCAGAGTTTCCATGAATGAACATTTTTATTGTGTGTGTGTGTGTGTGTGTCAGGGAGTCGGAGTCAGCAGCTGTGTGTGAAGCTGGAGCCTCGGGGTCTTCTGTATGTCAAACTCTCACTGCAGGAAAAGTGGGACACTCAGGTGAACTGTTACTTCTGCTAACAAGGATAATACAGTTATAATACCTTCAATGATCGTGATGCTCAACACTAATGTTGCTAATTATGCTAATGATAACAATACTGCCAAATGTCAAATACACTAATGATGCTAATATTGCTAACGGTGTATTCCCTTCATAAATTCATCTGCTGATACTAACTAAATATACTGTTACATATACAATACTACTACAGCACTCAACAAGACTGCTTATACTACAAGTACTGCTAATAGTACTGCATTACAGTAGCCACTTATGCAACACTGCTAAATGTCACTTCAATGATCCCACAGACCAACAGTGACTCCTCAGTTCCTGCCAATGTGTTTGGGGTGGAGCTTCACCACCTGGTGGAGAAGGAGGGTTCTGCAGTCCCAATTCCTCTGCTCATCCAGAAAGCTGTGGCGGAGATCGAACAACGTGGACTCAAGGTGTGGTCAGCACTTTCTCACACCCACCCAATCATACCACAAACACCCCCACATATCCTCACAGTCTCTGTGGCGCCCCCAGGTGGTGGGCCTTTACCGTCTCTGTGGTTCGGCTGCAGTGAAGAAAGAACTCAGGGACTGGTTCGAAAGGAACAGTTCTGCAGTTTGTCTGAGTGAAGACCTTTACCCCGACATCAACGTCATCACAGGTAACTGGTCACATGATGGTTAACTGGTCACATGATGGTTAACTGGTCACACATTCACTTATAACTGTGCATCGCTGATGGTAACATGACTAAGTGGGCGGAGCCTGGTTCTTCCTCAGGTATTCTCAAGGACTATCTTCGAGAACTTCCGTCTCCTCTCATCACCACCAACCTTTACCAGGTGGTCAGAGATGCCATGACCCTACATCCTCTGACCTCTGACCCACAGAGGACGGTGGAGCTGCTCTCCTGTCTGCCCCCACCTGAGAGGGTAATCCACTACAGTACTCTGGAGAGATTACTACAGTGATCTGTTATCTAGTACTTCTAGTACTACATTTTGTATAACTGTAGTAAACTATTACTCAGGTATTCCAGCACTGATATTATAACAACATATGAAGAGTTGTACCACTAAGGTGTTTGATTTTAATACTGCAGTCAAAGAGTACTGCAGTTTACTGATCAGCAGTGAGTGCAGCGCTGCTAATGTGTGATGATGTCACCACGTGTCACTTCCTGTCTCTAGGCCACACTGTCACTCCTGCTGGACCACCTCAGTCTGGTGGCTTCGTTCAGCTCCTTCAACAGAATGACTCAGCAGAATCTGGCCGTCTGCTTTGGACCTGTGCTGCTCACGCCCACGCAGGAGGCGTGGCAGCGTGGTATGGGCGGGGTCAGGGGAGGAAGAGGAGGGTTTAAAGGCCTCGCTCATAACCAGGAGATGGCGAGTGCAGTGGATTTTAAACGACACATCGAGGCGCTGCACTACCTGCTGCAGCAGTGGCCCGGTGAGGCAGGCGGGGGTTAAACCACCCCCTCAATAATACCACGCAAGCTAAGGTGCATGCTAACTGTTTTGCTTTCCTTTAGTGCCAAAACGTCAGTTCTCAGAAGACGACCAGGCCTCTCCTCCCCCCTCTCCGTTAATTACCCACGATCCCCTGCTGCGCTCACAGCTTCCCACCCTTCGTCTGTCCATGCCGCAGGCTGAGGAGACGGTGGTGTCGCGGCGAGGGAGGAGTGGGCTCGGCCGACTGGACAGTCCACCGCCAATCAACCGGTATGCAGGAGACTGGAGTGTGTGTGGTCGAGACATCCTGTCTGGACAGGAAGCGGACTACGACGAGGTGGCGGGAAGTGAGAGTGACGAAGGTAAATGTCTGACCGAGGTTTAAGATGCTGCTGATGTGTCTGCCAGGTCAGTCTGACACAGCATTACTGTGGCTGTCATTCTAGACAGCGAGGAGGAGGAGGAGGAGGAACCAAAGAAGGAGCTGTGGCCACCAGGTGGAGGCACAGCCCTGTACGTGGAGGACTTCCTGGACTTTGACGCTCCGTTTAACTGTCGACTGAGCCTGAAGGACTTTGACAATCTCATCCACGACCTGGATCGAGAGCTGGCCAAACACATCAACATCTGTCTGTAGGACACCTCTGCTCTGCACTCACTTCACTCCCTGGTCTTTATGAAAAACACAAACTCTTTGTAGGTAATCCATGTCCAGACTAAAGGAGCCACAAGACCACAACACAAGCACTTCCTGTTACAGGGTGTGTAACGCTGTGACCGCGCCCTCTCCTTGTGTGGCTGTAGTTCTTGCTGTTGTTGTTGTTGTTGTTTGTTGTTGGTATCAGGGTCATGTCGTATGAGACTCGATTGCACTGTTGAAGCCATAGTTTCAGTTGTTGAAGCACCGACTTGTCAGAACCACAGGTTATTGACGGTCCTTCATTTCCCTCTAGTTGTCCTGCAGGTAACTGCGACTTTTGTACAACTGTTGCTTGTCCCAGCAGGTTCCTGAAGGTACTGCAGATCTCTGCTGTTCCCGCATGCTTTTTATTGGCCCATACCGTCTCTGCTTGTTTTAGAACACCTGTAACTCCTGCAGGCCTCTAAGGGTCCAGCAGGTGTCACTCAACCCATGAAACACCCTTTACTGTTCTTTTTCTCATATTAGTGCCCCCTACTGGTCCTGAAGGTCTGCTGGTCTTGAACAAACTCCGTTGGTCCTGCAGGTCTCTTCGTAGGTCTTTTTTCGACTCAGCAGGGCTTCAGTATATTTAGCGGTACAGTTGTTGTTGACAGTATTATTTCTTTTGCACAAACATAAACAAGCACTTATGTAATTTTTATTGACGATGTTGTGATGATGTCACTGAAGTGACCAAGCACAAACAGCAGTTTGTTTTATTTACCTGAAGAATAAAAACACAGTTTTATTATCAAACCAAAGACTTGGTGACAAAAAATGTATTATAGTAAACAGCAATAATAATACTATTATTATTATTATAGGTTGTTTTTTAGTATTATTGTTGTTTTGTTGTTGTTATTTTAACGATATATCACTCCTCATAAGCACAATAATTTGATTATAACTTATATTTTATTATTCATTTATTGCTTAAGAAATTGAAAATTAAAAAGAAAATCTCGCGCTCAGTGACACACCACTCCTCCTTCCTTGTCTCTGATTGGCTGAAGTGGATCAGCTGTTCGTGTCTGTCTCTTCCTCTTTAAAATGGCTGCAGCAGAAAGTTAGGATTAAACCAGAAGAAGAAGTCGTCAGTGTGGGTGTGTGCGCGGGCACGGGGCTGGAGACGGAGACGGGTTCAGGATCTCCTGGATTCCACTGTTGTCACTGGATTTCACTGTTTTCACGGAGACTCAAAGTTTCAAATGAACTGCAGGTAAGAGAAAAGAAACTGCGTCACAGCTGCACGTCCGCACCGACTCTGTCCACTCAGGTCCTTCCCCCGGTCCAGTTCTGGTTCTGTTGTTTAAAATGATTTTCTAATTTAGTTTCTATCGTTTCCCTCACGGTTTTAAAAAACGTTCTACAAAGTGTCTAAAGAATCGAAACGAAGAACAAATGTACCTGCAGGAAAAGAGTGAAATTCGAGTGTCTGTCATCAGTACTGTAACGTACTAATGCCTTCGTCTGTGCCACAGGTAAATGTACCTGCATGAGAATTCAAAGTACTTCACTGTTAAAACATGAACGAACTAAAATACATTCAAACTTAAGAAATACTAACATAGTTCAGGGGGTACTTGTTTTGAAATGTGAAAAAAAAGTTAAATACTGGATGTAAGTACAGTCAGTTACTGTGTCTTTATACTCGGTGTCGGTGTTGATGTGAACTCTCCTCAGATCAAAGGTCACTTATCTTCACTTCGTTCCTTCTGGTCTGAAATTGTCTTTATCGCCCCCTGCAGGGTCCTCCGAATCCTGAACCCTCGCCCAGAGGCTCCTCCTCCCATCATGCCTGTGGACATGGCAGTACGAATATGCTTTGCCAATTCACCTCCTCTGCACTCCTTCATGGCCAACTACAAGAGTCGTTTCTCGTCATCATCGTCTGCTGCACCTGAGCCGCCGCGACCATGTCTTAGCAGCGGCACGGATTTTACGGTAATGGAGAAGACGGCGGCAGCAGAGATATCCTGCAGCTCGTCTGTGGCGAGGAAGAAGAAAAGTGTGGCGTTTGCCGACTCTCAGGGTTTTGCACTTGCAGCGGTCTACATCTACGATGAGGCTGAGGAGGACCTGATGACCGAGCTGCAGTACCAGCTCAGGGAGATAGAGGGTGCAACAGCTGCTCTGCACCTGGAGGAGAGGAATGGTAACAGAGTTTAAAAAAAATAGTTTGAAACATGTTTGAACCTTCTTATGTGACCAGGTCTCTACTGTCTTTCAGATCCTGCAGACCCTAGTCCAGACCTGGTCCTTGACTTCACTCCACCAGTCGCAGACTACTTGGACCTAAGAAACCGACTCAAAGCACAGCATGTTTGTCTGGAGACCTGCTTTGTCCAAGAGCAACGCCTCTCAGGAACTGTCCAGGTCCAAAACCTCTGCTTTAAGAAGTCGGTCTCGGTCCGAGTCACCTTCGACTCGTGGCAGTCTTTCAAGGACGTTCCATGTCAGTACCTGAACAACGTCTACGGCTGTGACAACACCAACACCTTCTCCTTCTCACTGGAACTGCCAGAGCTCCTGGAGCTGGGCAGCAGGGTGGAGTTCTGCATCCAGTACCAGGCTGAGGACCAGACTTACTGGGACAACAACCATGGGACCAACTACTGCCTGCTGGTCCTAGACCAGGTCACAGAGAAGACAGAGAAGATGGAGTTTGATCCCTACGGAAGTCCCAGGACTTCTGCTGGGTTCTTTCCTGAATGGCAGAGTTGGGGCCGTGTTGATGCTCATGCCCCCTACTGGTGAAACCACATCGAGCTCTTTCTGATGATGCAGTCACTCTATCGATGATGTCACAGGACTTTTATACTAGCATTGAGCAGTCACTCCTGGAGCCATGCAAGCAGGGCCAAAGCCAATCCCCTAGCACTGGTGGCTATGCACATGAGGCTAAGGCTAACTGCGTTTAAACAGCACTTTAACCACATGAACCACAAGCTAATACTGTAGCCCTGAAAAGCTAAAAACCTTAACTTTAAAAGTGATGCTAACCCTAAAGGAGATGGTCTAGCTAAGACCCTGACCTACAGGTCTGTAGATGAGGATAGTGGTAAAGCTAATCCCTAACTCAGGAGATAATCCAGACTGTGAACTGATTTTCCGTTTAACCTGAGTCGCTTGGATTTGTCTGTGTTTACCCAGAGTCTGGCTGAGTGAGGACTAGGTTTCAGCTGGTTTTACTTTCACCACCTGTGGTCTAAGTGCACTGACCTGAACCAGATTCTTGGCTAGAAAAAAAAAAGCACTTTTAAAAACTAACGTCTGTATTACAGTTCTTTATAAACCACATCTGGTGTAGTTCAGGTGAACCTGGTCTTTAAAGAAACCTGGTATTTCAACTGGACTGTAGAGGGCGTTAAACAAGTTGAAGGTGCATCCAGGAGAACATTATGCAAACAGAGGAGAGCCTTTGTCCCGATCCTTTCATTCCCAAGTGCTTCCTTTCAAACACCCAAAGAGCCATGATGTGTTCAAGTGCTCGCACAGATCTGTGCAAAGCAGCTTCATGTTCCACACCATTTCACACAGCAGTCTTCACTGCATGTACCAGGCCAGACCGGTTCTGTAAATGTCCACTCTTCTACTGTAAGTCTGGGACTGTGGTCCAGTCCAACCTCCAGAGGAACTAGAACCCTGTAACGTCCTAACCAGGGAGACCTGAAGAAAAACCTGTAGCTGCAAACAGATTAATCCGATTCTTTTCGTATTGAGGCTCATTAAGTTTGTGTAGCGCTAACACCCAACAGTAATGTAGTCATCCAGACTGCTTTTGGTTTTGCAGACTGCTGTAGAAAACACACTTAGACGCTGTAGCTAACATGTTTGATTATATTGTTTATAGTTCTATCGTCTGTCACAGTCACGCCAAGTTGCGACACAACTCTGAGCAGTTCAGAGGTTAAAGTTATTACTGCACTTCCTGTTAGCACTTTTGTTAGCTTGTATAGCTACACCACTGTTTTGTTTGTTTGTTTAAGAGAATGTTAAAGGGATCTTAAAGTGTGTAATGTCGAGAATGTTATGGAGTTTGAACTGCTGTGTTGATGTCTGATGGTCATGGTTTAGGGGGCGTGGTCAACGTTTAAGGTGGTCTTACAAGTACTAGTAGGCACAGAAAGATGAGGCTAACTCAGCAACATGTATTAATGGACTTTTTGAGGTGACAAGCTAGCAAGCTAGCCTGTTGCTAGCAATAGTGAATGTAATGTTAAGTGCAATACAGTGTTTTTTGATGATGATGATGTCACACAGCGAGTGATGTGAGTGTTGGTGTTCAGTGTTGGTGAAATCTGTGTTCTTTCACAATAAAGTCCTGTTTTTATAGTGGTTGATGTTTGACTTTTTATTCTTATGACATGATCAAACACATGTGACATCACAAGAACAAGCAGGGAGTATTTCAAAATAAAACAGTATTGTTTACGTTGTTCCAAGATTTTGTTGTAAAAACTAGTCTTTATAAGTAGAGTTCTGATATTGAAGTATAAACACAGTGTCAGGGATCAATAAACTATTGGCTGATCAGTCTGTGACATCACTATGACATAATCACACTCCACCACTCTTATGTAACCTTGTGATGTAAGAGGATTAGAGAGGCTCACTCTACGACCTCTGGTGGCTTAACCAAGAGGCTCACTCTACGACCTCTGGTGGCTCAATCACTGAGATTAACCAGATTAAATAATCCTAATCCTGATCTGTTTTCTCACAGTGGAGAAACAGAGTTTGTATTAAAGCAGTCATGATGCAGTACTGCTGTCAGACAATAGATGTCACTGTTGTCTTTGTCTCTCCCTCCCCGGGTGAGCGACCTTCACCTTAAATCACACTATGAACTCCTCGATGTGAAGTAACCATGGTTACAGACACGTTGCCCCTTTGAGACTGTAGCCCCGCCCACTGGAATTTACTAATGACACTGCGATTGCACCTGTCTGTCTCACCTTCCAACCTCCTGTTGCACTCTTAGCCTTCCTGGCTCTTTCTCGGGCCACCTGTCTCACCTACATGCTTCAGGTCTCACCCTCAGACCTCCTCTATGTTTGGTCTATGGTCTCTTTTTTAAACTGTTTTAAAAATCCACTCCTCACAGCTGTCAATCATGGACTCTTCGTCACTGATTGGCAGTTAAAGTTATTTATTTATTTTCTCTTTTTTTATTCCTCAACAGCAACATTTACCAAACGGACATAAAAACCGCACCAACGTCTCGCTGATGTCTTTATACCTGGAGACACAGAAACAACAGATTCTCAACCTGCGGGTGTCCAACCGTCAGACTGTGTCTCCATCTGTCTCCGTACGTCGTTCGCTTTCTCTCTCTCTCTCTCTCTCTCTAATGTCGCTCTCTCTTTCCTCCACCTTCTCCCCATCTCTCTCACCCCCTTCTTCTCTCCGTACCCCGGTGCCTCCCTCGTTATCAAACTGTGCTGTGATGTTTATCAGCGGACCTGAGTGAAAGCAGGCGGACGATCGAGGCGGAGTCGTGGACGTGACCGGAGGAAAGAGCCATAAAACCGGAGAACAGGTTGGAGAAACTGCGCTGCTGAAAGAACGAATGACAGACACAGTCCTCCGTTCACCACTCCGTTAACTACTGACCACTCCATTAACTACTGACCACTCCAACCCGTTCATTCAACATTAACAACCTGGTTTTCCGCCATCCTCTGGTTAAACCGGTACAGAACCGTCCAGACCGCGGTGTTCCGGTGAACCACTCCATTAACTACTGACCACTCCAACCCGTTCATTCAACATTAACAACCTGGTTTACCGCCATCCTCTGGTTAAACCGGCTTTCAACCGTCCAGACCGCGGTGTTCCGGTGATGAAGTCGGTACTACTTTATTCACTTTGAACCAGACTTGAAGGCAGTAGTACTGTTGTACTGAAGTACTGTAACTTTGTTTTATTTTTGTACTGCAATCGTAGAGAGAGTAGAAAGATGTAGGAGTACAGACGTTAGTTCCAGGTACTCAGAGTGACCAGTAGGTGAACAGGTGATCAAGATCAGTACTGATGATAAAACGTCGTCTTCTTCTTCTTCTTCTTCTTCTTCTCTTTTCTCTGCAGTTGTCAAACTTCATTGATTATTGACGAGGTTTTCGTCTGACTGTTTTTTCAGAAATGCAGTATTTATGAAGTATTGATCCAGTCATTATTTGTAATGCAGTGTGTGTGTTTGTAGTATAATTCAATATTGATGAAGGAGGAATAAAGTATTCATGAATCAGTGACAGAGAATTAATCCTGCTGTTTAGACAGAGTTAAAGGAGTGTTGGTTCATGTGAACGCCCCCTGCTGTCACAATAACAATAATCACTTTCCTTCCTGTTTGACTTGATTTAAGGCTGTGATGTCACCATGATGCAACCAGTTTCCAGGTTCAAAGGTCGGCCGGTCAGCCTCCTCACCATTTCTACACCTTGGGTGTCAGTTAGCTGTGACCCCGCCCTTCAGTGGGTATGGTTGACCACATACCAAACCACGCCCCCTATGTTCCTCTATCCCCAAGCTGTGTGGATTCCTGAGCACACACGTCTGCCACAGGTAACACACACACACACACACACGTTTGACTTTGGATTATTGTAATGTTGAAACACAAACAGCACGATGATGATGATGATGATGATGATGATGATGATGATGATGATGATGATGAAGCTCTCTTTGTTGATCACAGTACTGCTGACAGACTCATTTTATACTGTGCTATAAGACTGCTAGTGCTAAAAGCAATGCTAGGCGAACTGTGGTGCAGGAAACTGTGGTCATGACGATGCTAACACATGATTGCTAATGATTTAGCTGCAGACAACAGTGTGGCCCTGAGCCTGTTTTATTGTTGTGGTTTCAGTGGGAACGACGGACTGTTGACGTGGTTCCTGTTCTTCCTCAGTTCTACCACTCCTCACCTCTTCATCATCCTCATCATCTGTATAAGGTACCAACACACACAG